GTAATATGGGTTCCAGCTCTAACCAGGAAAATATAAGATGTGCTATATCACAGTTGTTTCTTAAAGCTGAATAGTACTCCATGGTATACATATACCACATTTTATTAAATCCATTCTTGGATTGATGGGCACTTGGACTGTTTCCACAGCCTTGCAATTATGAATTGTGCTGGCTGCTTAACATTATATTTTCCTGGTTAGAGCTGGAACCCATATTACTAAGTGAAGTATCCCAAGAATGGAAAAACAAGCACCACATATATTCACCAGCAAACTGGTATTAACTGAGTAGCACCTAAGTGGACACATAGGCACTACAGTAATAGGGTATTGGGCAGGTGGGAGGGGGGAGCGGGGCGGGTATATACATACAAAATGAGTGAGATGTGCACCATCTGGGGGATGGTCATGCTGGAAACTCAGACTTGTGGCGGGGGGAAGGGCATTTATTGAAACCTTAAAATCTGTACCCCCATAATATGCCGAAATAAAAAATAATAATAATAAAAAATAAATAAAAATAAATTTGTCCTCTAAGTCAAGCTCATCAATTGTGTGGTTCAAAATTTTATATCCTTATTTATTTTATCTGTTGGATCTATCAATTAGGAAGACAGGGGTCTTAAAATTCTTCTTTATGAAGGTTGATTTGTACACTTCTCTTCAACATTTTGTCATTTTTTGCTGTATAAATGTTCATTCTCTAATATGTGTGTTAGTTTTCTCTCCTTTGATAGGTGAGAACCTATGTCATTGTGTAGTGACTCTGTGTATTCTAGGAATTCTTTTTTGCTTTGAAGTCTACTTTGTCTCTCCTACTGGCTTTCATTTAGTGAGTATTTGCTTTCTATATCTTTTTCTCTACTACTGATTTTTTTACTTATAACTGTTCTCTGTCATTTAGGCTAATCTTTTATAAATGACAATATTTGGTTTCCACCATCAAATTTTAGTGCATTTAAATTTATTACTTTAGTACATTTATATTTGCTATTTGGATTATATCATATTATTTTATGCTTTCTATGTGTCCTGTGCTTTCTATGTTTTCCCTTCTTGCCTTCTTTTGGATGATTTATTTTTTTTCTCTTACTCGTTTAATTTGTTCCCTAGATTACTAGGGATTTGTTCCCTAGATTAGAGAGTTATTATCTTCTTGTCTGTTAGCAGTTGCCTCAGACATTTAACACTTATTTCTAACAAAGTCTTAGGTTTTTACAGTAACTTCAAAATGCTTTAAGTACAATTATACCCTTCCAACACACATACTACTATTTCGAATACTTTCTTTCTAAACCCCCAAATCAGACATTTTTATTGCTTTTATATAAATGTGTAGACAATGATTATTTCCATTTATACACATAGTTTCCAGTGTTTCTCTCACAATTTCTTCATACATCTCAAACCTTCCATCTAATATAATTTTTCTTCTGCCACAAATATATCCTTAAAGTTTCCTTAACGTATATTGTTAAGAATATTGCCTTTCAGCTTTTGTGTTCTATCAATCAAGGTCTTTATTTTGCTCTCTGGAGAGACTGTATTATTGTGTATAAAATCCAGGTTAATGGCTCTTTTCTCTCAGCACGTGGCCAGTATTGTCCCAGTTGCTCAGGCTTCCACTGTTTTCTGAGAAGTCAGATGTCAGCTTCACTGCTGTTCCTCTGTCGTCCATCTCTGCCTGCTTTACATAGCTTGTCTTTCTATTTGGGTGGTTTTCCACAGTTTCACAAGATGTGGCTCAGGTGAATTATTTGTCATTTATCTTTTTTTTTTTTTTTTTTGAGACAGAGTCTCCCTTTGTTGTCCAGGCTAGAGTGAGTGCCATGGCGTCAGGCTAGCTCACAGCAACCTCAAACTCCTTCTGCCTCAGCCTCCCGAGTAGCTGGGACTACAGGCATGCGCCACCATGCCCGGCTAATTTTTTATATACATATCAGTTGGCCAATTAATTTCTTTCTATTTATAGTAGAGACAGGGTCTCGCTCTTGCTCAGGCTGGTTTTGAACTCCTGACCTCGAGCAATCCGCCCGCCTTGGCCTCCCAGAGAGCTAGGATTACAGGCGTGAGCCACCACGCCCGGCCTGTCATTTATCTTATTTGTGACTGGTTGGGTTTCTTGGATTTGAGATTTGATTGTTCAAAATTTCTGAAAAACTATCACTTTCATATATTTCTGCTTCCACATTTCCTGTATTATATTCCCAAATTATATGTACGTTTAGTCTGTACCATGGTAACCTCAGTGACTCTTAATCCTTCTTCTATATTCTTCATTTCTTTGTCCCTCTGCGCTGCATTTTATTAATAAGTAATTTATCAGGGCCTATCTCCTACTTTGCAAATTCTCTCTCCAATTCTGTCTAACATGCTGTATAATTCATATTAAATTCAACTCATCTTTTATAATTCTAATATTTTTTATTTCTAGGAGTTTTTATTTGGTTCTTTTCAAATATTCTTAGTTATTTTTAAAAAGTTCCCTGTTCATATTTTCATGTCATTTTTCATATCTTAAAAACATATTGAACCTTTTTATATTAAGCTAGTGTCAGGTCATTCAAGGAGGTGTGGTCTGATGCTGCTGCCTTCTTGTTCCTTCTTGCTCTCATTCACGGTGCCTTATTTCCCTGTGTGGTTCTGTGAGTTTTGACTGTGTGCAACTTGTTTCTTTGAGGTCTTTATTGTAGAAATTCTCTGAGGCCTGAGTTAAAGTTCAGATCTTCCAGGAGACCCACACTAGTTGGAGTGAGGTTTTTGGACCCCTAAAATAGTTTGAAAGCTAGCTCTAATGCTATGTGAAGGGTGGCTTTTACTTAAGAATTCTCAAGGAATTTTCTTCCTCTTCTGCACAGCACCAAAGTCAAGGCAAGCAAGTTCCCTTGCTACTCCCTTTCATAAGTGTTGTTATCATTTATCTTTATTCTGAGAATGTAACCTTTGGGGATTCAGCTTTATAGTGGCACCTCCCTGTCACTCACACTGTAGGTGGGTCCCAGCTTCCTCTCCTCCCTCCCACATCCTTAGCAGCTGCCCAAATAGGGACTCATGGTCTCCTTGCTCACCTCCCAGGTCCCAGCTGCCAGTAACAGCTTGTCATCAGTGTGGCTGTCAGCAGTGATGCCCCCACAGTGGACATGGAAGGTGTGGAGGGAGACGCTGGGAGGTACAGACCAAAGCTTCACCCCACATAGACCAGAGGCCTCCTGGGTCGCCTTTACTTGCCTCCATTTCCAAGTAGAATTTCAGTGTCACTAGAAGAGAGCTTTCTCTACTTCAAAACTGTTAAAAGGTGAAAACAATCAGCTGAGGTTCTCTTAAAGGGCGAGTTCCACAATTGTATTCCACATTCTAAGGAGTCAGCCATAATTGGATGCTGACACATTCAACGTACAACTTTTAACCTCAGCCTCCCAAATTGTGCACTTGGAAGCTCTGGGACGTGGTAAAGATTGCCTTGTGCCTCCTGGATGAGAAGAGGGCCCTGAACACCCCAGCAGCTGCCGGTAGCGGAGCAGGTACAGGTATGGGAGCATGGCTCGGGGAAGCATCATGAGCACCTCGCTGTTGGCCACCAGGAGCCATTTGTGAGTCCTGGCACCAATGTGGTGGTACTTGGTCAGCATGACATCCAGGGAGAACATCACCCCTGTGCTCATGCACAGTGTGATCAGCACTGAGTGCATAAGCAGGGTGCCCCTGGCCAGGGAATAGCCCTTCGTGCAGATGTCTGATGTCCTGGCCTCTGCATAGATCTCCGGAAGCAGTAGGCAATGAGAGCCATGCAGAGGAAGAGAAGGCACAAGATGGAAATGTGGGTGATGGTGAGGAGGGGGGCACAGCCCTGCGTGCTCAGGCTCATCAGCAAGATGCACGAGATCCCACGCTCCTCCTGCTGGACATCCTGCCACTTGCTGAACCAAAGGAGAAACGTGGGAAAGAAAAAAAGCCACCAGCCAGATGAGGGCCACTGCCTTCCAGACCTCCCCACAGGACACGAAGGAGAGGTAGCGCAGAGGATGAGCAACTGCCAGGTGGGTGTGCAGTACGGTGGCTGTGAGCGACAGGATGGTGCTGGTCTGGGTGGTGAAGACCGCGTCTGTGACGCTGCTGCGGGAAGTGCGGCCCAGATCCAGCCACTCAGGCTGCTATAGGAAATGAGTGTGTGGAGGAGAAGGCAGGCCAGATCTGAGAGCAGGATGTTGGCCAGCAGCAGGTAGTGGGGGTCCTGTTGTAGTTGCTGGCTCTGCAGTATGGTCACCAGCAGCAGGGTCTCAGGGCCAGTGTGGCCATAGCCAGCAGGCTCGAGGGAAGGCAGAGTGAGTGCAGCACGGAGCTGGGCACTCTGAGCTCCCTGAGGTCCAGGGAGGTGTTGCTGGCTACCTGGGGCATGCAGGGTATATTGCTGGCAAGCTGGGCCGGGGCTGACCAGGCTGTAGTGCCCAGAAAGCAGGGTGCCAGCTTGCCCTCCATGTGTCCTGGCAGGAGTGGTCAGCTTTGTCAAAGGTTGTTGGTTCTGCACCTACCCAGAATATTGATTCCCCTCATAGCAGTCCTGAGGGTGCTACTCTTCTGCAGAGATGCTAGGCTAAGGCAAGTCTCAGGAAAGACTGTTTAACAAAGATAAAACCAACAATGTGAAATTCAGCTCACACCTAGCTTCCTGCATGCACGCATGTCTCTGCGGCTCTGCAGCTGCACATATGTGGGTACATGTAATGGATCAGCCCATTGCCACCATTTGGTAGTCACTGACCTTTGCAGAAGTGTCTCCCATCTCAATATCCCCCAGACCTGCCTGGCTGGCTCACAGAGAGTGTGTGATGAATGCTCACCACATTGGATGGAATTCAAGGTTGGCCTGCCCGAAGGGAGGGAGCAGACACAGGGGACTAGCATTGCCTGGCTATGGACCCAGCCTGGCCTCTGACCTGGGGGCTTATGAAATAGGGCCAGCTGGAAGTGCCTGGGCATGCTCACAGTCTTCATCACAAAGCCGTGGGTACAGCTTCCAGGCCGGGGGTGACACTGTGTGTGTTTACTACACCCCTTCCACACAGGTATCCACATGGGAGAGCACTCTGTGGCCACAAAATCTCAGCTGAGTTGTGGGTGCCCTGTGTGGTGGTGAGGAGGTGGCCTGGCAAGCAGACAGCCCACAGGAGCTAGCGGTGAGGAGCAGAAGCAGGAAGAGAGGAGTGGGAGGCAGGCACCACCACAGAGTTGGAGGGGGTATAGACAGTACAGTGTGCTCAGGTAGGGCCCAGAACAGGGTGGGGGGCTCTGCCTCAGGTGAGCAGTCTCCCCCTCTCCAGGTGCTGTCTGGTGGCCTTGAGAAGTTTTGTTCACCTTCCTACACTCCAGTTTCCTTATTTGTGACACATGGATGCTGTCCACATGACCTCAAGGAAATGTTGCAAAATCCCAGTGGTAAAGGACTTAGCATGGTGCATAATCTGAGGGAATGTTAGCCCCCCCCCAACCTACACCATCCTATGTGGCTTCAGGTCCCCTCTGCCCACAGTCCCTCTTGTTAACACTGCAGAGTAGGCTGCTCTGACAACCACCTGACCTTGGCAGGCTGACTGGTACACAAGGTAGGAGCCACATAGGAACCTTCCTAAGACCAGGCAAGATATTTTCATGGTCAGAGAGAGGCAGGAACATCAGACACTGGGTGAGAGAGGAGTTTCCTCATAACATGAATGCCACCTGGACCAGATCAGCACATAATACACCAGAACTGACCTCCTCCATTGGCCATGGGACGCTGGACCACTTGGATGTAAACCTGCCACCTCCCTTCTCTCTCGATGTGCTGTGGTGTCCTCATCAGTGGATTTTATCCTTAGATATGTGGTCTTGGGACAATTACTTTATCCCTCTGGGCCTCCAGGTGCCCAGTGAGGGTCCATGATGACAATGCACCTGTCTCAGAGGACTTGCGGGTCACCCTTAGGTGCTGATGCTCACTGCCTGGCAGCCTCTTTACTAAGTGTGTTCCATAGACTGCCTCTGTTCCACACATCTGGGACACAGTGGAGGTGACAGAGGAACCCCTGAGCTCACACACACGACAGCCAGGCCAGGGGTGTCATGGGACCCAGGGTGTTTGGCCCCAGACTCATTCCTCTCACCTACAAGGCCCTTTCTCACATGAGCATCTTTCCTCCCTTCAGAGCTGGCCAAAGGCCCCTGTTGTCCAGGAGGGTGCCCCCAAGTCCACCATAGCCCTGAGGGCATGCCGACCATAGTCCTGAGACCGCATCTTCCTCTGAGGGTCTGTTACAGCATCTGCCAGAGCAAAAGCGCCGGTGGCCAGATGGTAGACTAAGGGGGAGGGGGCGTCTGAGAAAGCACAACTCGCTTTTCAGAGAAACCATGATGCCCCTACCCAGTCTGCCCTGCCATGCCCTCCCTCAGGCGTCCCTAGCACCTCTGAGATCCCCTTACAGGTCTAACTGGCCCGGGAGAGGGAGTAGAGCCCTTCCCAGCACAGCGCTCTGAGCAGGCGCCCTGGGTGCTGCAGACTGAGGGCTGGAGGCTCTCTGCTGTCCAGCCCAGCAGAGTGACCCTCACTGGCCCCCGGCTGTCAGCCTTGCCCTGTCTGGCCACCTTAGAATGCAGATTCCCTGGGAGAAGAAAACTTGTTAAATAACCCCTGGGTACAAATTAGCTGGGAGCTAAATCCTTGTGGCCAGTGACAGCTGATAAGCAACAGCTCCGTGGAAACGAGAACTCCCATAAGGAGAGAGCTGTGGAGTGTCATAAAGAGCCTGCCCTCCACTGAGAATTAGTTTATTACTTTCAAAGGACATAAAACAATCTCTAGCACTGTGAAGGTGCTGCCCTGGAGGGAACATCAGTTTGGTCTCACTTGCCTGGGTGCTCTGTCAAGGCTGCCCTTCCTGGGAGAAACGCAGACTGGCATAGATGTGGGGTCACACAGGGCCAGCCCCAGGGCCACAGAGCGGCCACCATGACACTAGCCCTTCCTGGCTAGTGATCCTGCAGTCTTTAACTGCTCCACCCTATCCCCTTACTCACTACGGTCAGGACAGCCCTGCCGGCATTGTGGGTGCCACCAGCAGGTGGGAGCACAGCTTAGAGCAGTGAGCCTGAACCTCACTTCGGAAGTCGAATCCTGGCCATGCGTGGCACTTCAAAAGCCTGAGGATGCTAGAGCGTCCCTGCCCTCCAGGAAGCTAGAGATAAACGGGAGCTGTGGGAGGGCGCAACGCAAACAAGTTCAAAGCCCAGAACAGACAGGCCCACAGGTCCTCCCCGAGATGCGGTGACAGTGACCATGCTCAGCCCTGTTGTGAAGAACTTTCTGCATGCAGGCACTGGGCACATTGTCTCACAGAAATGCCTCACTGCTCTGCAAAGCTGGCATGACAGGTTGCAGGTGGGAAACTGAGGCCCTAGGAGGTTAAGCACTTTGCTTAAGGTTATGTTTCAAGAGAGTTCAGTATCAGTAAGAAGCCATCTTTCCTGAGACATGCGGAGTCCCTATTGCTGTGTCCCCAGAGTTGGCCGCAGGACAAGAGTTCCTTACTGTGATATCATAACGAGGCTGGGGGTCAGGGTCTGGGCAGTGGGCAGTGGCAGAGGCAGCTGAGACAGACCCTCACCTCACACAGCTGTTCCCACAGGCAGCCGGCAACCAGGACTACCAGGTCGAAGAGGATGATCTGAACAGGGGCTCCTGGTCTCCTGGTAGCAATATAATGTCCCTCAGCAACTGGCCATGTCACCTGACCAGGCTGCAGGAGTGGAGGACATCTCCACCCCCGGCCCTCATCACTGCATGTCTGAGTGCGTGCATGTGTGGCAGAGGTGAAGCACAGAGAAATAACATGGCAACTGCTGTGTGCCAGGTGCTTTTATACATTTTGTTCCATCCTCAGGAACCCTTCAGAAGATGAAGAAATAGAAAATGTGAGGTCAATTAATTTTCCCAGGACCACCTAGCAAATAAGTGGCAGAGCACAGGCAGTTCTCACTCCAAATCCTGGGTTATTTCCATCTCCACTTCAGCAGTTTCCTGGATGGTCTTCCTGCTTCTGCCTTCCTGGCTGAACTTTTCATCATCATCACACTCACCCCATTATCATCATCATCATCATCATCATCCTTATCATCATTACTGTCACCATTGTCATAACCATAGCCATCATCATCCCAGCACCATCATCACCATCATAACTACCATCCTCACCATCAAGCATCCTCACCATTGTCACCATCATCACTATCATTATCACACCATCATCACCATCATCATCATCTTTATCCTTTTCACTACCATCATCGTCACCATCATGTCAACAATATGTTGCTCCTGTGTTAAATGAATCTCCCCAGTGTTTCTCATTGCTCTTATAGTAAAAACCAAGATCTTGGTCCTGATGCACAAGACCTAGTGCAGCTATCCCGTGCCTCCCCCCACCCCCTTTTCAATCCTCTGTCCTCCAATTCTCTCACCTCCCTTCTACTCCTTAAAGAATAAACAACCATTGGTGCCTAGGGACATTGCCACTCGCTTCACATGGTTCACTTCAGCTCAGCAAGATCTCAGTTCAAAAGACTCTCCCTATGTAAAACGTCTTCTGACCCTTAGAATAGACCTCAGCTCCCTGTTTTATACAGCCACACCTCAGAGACATGGTGGGTTTGGCTGCAGATCACCACAGCAAAACGAATACTGCAATAAAGTGAGTCGTGCGAATTTTTGGTTTCTCAGTGCATATAAACGTTATGTTTATCCTCATAAGTGTGCAATAAAATGTCATTGAAAACATGCAACATACCTTAATTTGAAAATCGTTGCTTAAAAAATGTTGACAATCACCTGAATCTTCAGTGAGTCTTAATATTTTTGCTGGTGGAGGGTCTTGCCTGCATGTTGATGGTGCTGACCAATCATGGGGGTGGCTGCTGAAGGTTGAGGTGGCTGTGGCAATTTCTGAAAATAAGACAACAATGTTGTTTGCCACATTGATTGACTCTTCCTTTCATGAAAGATTTCTCTGCAGCATGTGATGCTGGTTTGATAACATTTTGCCCAAGTAGAACTTCTTACAAAATTGGAGTCAATCCTCTCAAACCCTGCCACTGATTTATCAACTAAGTTATGCAATATTCTAAATCTTTTTTTGTCATTTCAACAATTTTCACAGCATTTTAACTAGGAATAGATTCCATCTCGAGAAATCACTTTCTTTGCTCATCCATAAGAAGGAATTCTTCATCTATCCAAGCTTTGTCATGAGATTGCAGCAATTCAGTCACATCTTCAGGCTCTGCTTCTAATTCTAGTTCTCTTGCCATTCCCACCACATCTGCAGTGACTTCCTTCAGTGAAGTCTTGAACTTCTCAAAGTCATCCATGAGGGTTGGAATCAACTTCTTCCAAACCCTTGTGAATGTTCATATTTGACCTCTTCCCATGAATCATGAATGTTCTTAATGGCACCTAGAATGGTGATCTTTTACAGAAGGTTTTCAATTTACTTTGCCCAGATCCATCAGAGGAATCACTCTCTGTGGCATATAGCCTTCTGAAATGTATTTCTTTCTTTTTCTATTTTTTTATTGCCTCATATTATGGGGGGTATTTCTTAAATAATAAGACTTGAAAGACAAAATTACCTTTTGATCCATGGACTGCAGGAGGGATGGGAGCTGCATGGGGGGTATGTTGGCTGTGGCAGGAAGGTGAGTGGGAAGCAATTTAAACTACAGAGTGACAAGACCAAACCCAGCATCTGCAAGGACAGGGGGGCATTCAGGTGGCCAATGGGCTGCAGGAGGCCTGGAGGCAGAGGGAGGTGCCTTTTATGATGGGCCAGAAGCAGGGAAGAGGAATGCTCTTCCAAAGGCAGGTGCTGAACCGATCAGGAATATCAGAGATATGATGCTTTTCCAGAATAGTCCTTGAGATCCCAGAGATCTTGAGCATATTGAAATCTTTAGAATTAGCAGATTTTCAATCCATATAAAAGAATATTGGAATGTTGGCGGCATCTCCCTTTTAAACATGTTTCTTTTTAAAAAATAATTGAGTCATATGTATTGCTAAAGATAAACTAATTCTGAAAGTTCCCATAGCCCCTACAATCTCCCTCCACCTACCCCCTCTCTCCCCTTCTCATTCAGTTCAGTCCAGTGGCTGTCCTGACCCCATGCTGACCTCCTTTCCGGCTGGGGTGGCCTCCATGCTCCAGTCCCGCCTCACGTGGTGGCTGCTGGCTCAGCACGGTGCCCAGGCAATCCTGGGATGGGTGAATAATGAATGATATCACGTGGAGGTGGGCTGGGGCCGGGGCCGCTGGCTAGGAAGACCTGCCTCCTGCTCCTTGGCAGCTCCACTCTCCCACACACACACTAGCATCTCTAGCACCCTTTCTCCTCAAGGGAGTCAGAGGGACTTTTTATTTATTCACTCACTTATGTAGTAAAGTTAATTTTATTAGACTTTAACATAGAGGTAAAGCCTTTGAAAAGCCTCTTTAGTCTATGCCCATATTTCTCTTCTGACCACTACTGTGTCCATCCTCCTCCTGAAGTTTTCCAACAGTCCATAAAGTCTGGTTAATAATTGAAATAACCCCAGATGTTGTCCCGGTCTGCAAATCCTATGGCTATCCTCCCTGCACTGTGGCAGCTGCCCTGTTCTGCTCAGCAGGCCCCATTGCCCACCCAGAGTCCCCCCTAGCTGGGCTCTGCCTGGACACCCTTCCCTTCTGCTGCTGCTCTGGGTGACTCCCCTGCCCTCCTCTGCAGGCTCACGCTCCTCTCAGCGCATGGGTCACCTCCTCTGTCCTTTATTGCTTTTATTGTCCTTTATTGTCACATTTGGAGTTTATTTTGTTCATTTATTTAATTTTAAAGATTAATTTACAGCAATTCATTCTTTTATTAGCACTGTGAACTATTTGAAATACTGAAAAACACAAAAGGATTAATAGATTCTCATAGACACACTATCCAGAATTTTAAAATGTTGACATTTTGCCATATTTGCTTCCAATTATTCTTATATAACATCTTTATATTATATGTGACAAAATATAACATATTTTATATAAATATATATATACATTTTTAATATAGCAAAACATTAGACATACAGTTACAGTTCTCTTTGCCACCATCCTCTGGCCTATTCCCTCCCTTCTTGCCTCCCACCCCAGGGGCAGCATCCACCCTGAATTGGTGTATATTCCTCCTGCTCCTGGTTTTGAACTTTCACTGAAAATACATGGTTTATGAACTATATATAGCACTGATGTCTATGTTTGGTATGTCACTTCATTCTGATGCTTGCATTTTTCACTCAATGCCCTACCTTCTAGACCAGTGCTGTTGCCATTCACAGATATAGTTCCTTCTATGGAAATGCTCCACAGCTTTCCATTCTCTGGCCACCCCACCACTTACTTACCCTCTGCTTCCTAGTGGACTTTGGTGCTGTTTCCAGTCTGACAAGCTGCGTGGTGACCTGTGATGTTTTTCTAGACATCAATTGCTTCCCCACAAGGAGTCGCATTGTCAGCAGCGTGAGATGCACGGAGCTGCCCTCCGCAG